TGGGGCAGGGGGACATAGTCGCCTCCCAGTCTTCGGTTGTGGAGCCTGCCCCAGCAGCAGGCAGATCCTGGGGGCAGGACCAATCTCCCATCCCTGGTACTTGGCTAACTGGGAGCAGATTTACTGCCAGTCAGGTGTCTACATGAGTGCCACTGCACAGCTAAATTGCCAGGGATCCTGGTTTTCTCTGAAAAAACAAACACCCCCCCTCCCCCCAATTTTGGATTAAAAAAAGTAACCCAAAATCCACATTTTTCCATGATTAAAATGAAACACCACTCATATAGATGATTGGTGTTTCATTAGAGTGAATGTGTAAAGGCAACCCAAAGGTAAGCCAAAATACACACACACACACACACACACACACACACACTAATTTTCATTTCATTATTTTCACATTTCATTTTAATCAAGGAATTTTATAGATTACTTTTTTTAATCTGAAAATTGGGAATTTTTTTTTTTTTAAGTCAGAGAAAACCAGGATCCCTGGTAATTGCAAGTAAATTTTTTACTTGCATTTGCAGGTAGCAACTTTACTCACTACTAGCAAGGTTTACTGTGCAGTAAGCTTGTACACTTGTAGATGCACATGCTCACTGAACAGTAAACTACACTACTGCACAGTAAAGCATTTCATGTAGACGCACCCACTGATGGGTTCCCTGCTCACTGGCAAATTGAAAAGGCATTTACGACCATGCCCTTTGAAAGACCCCCATTGCAAGCTTCCAATATGCCAGAAGTCAGGCAATTGGCACCTGATGACTTTTTTCCTAGATGCAAGAGTTTGGAGATCCAGAAAAAAAAATCATCAGATCTCAATCATGCAATTAAAATAACATCTGCCAGGCCCCTACTGTGCCAGCCAGGTAGCTGGAAACTGTGCCCATGTTGCTGCCATTTCATCCTCCCCCTTCCACCGTCCCCTATCACCTCCCAGCTGCAGTGCAAAAGCAGAAGCAGCATAAATGCAGCTTCCAGCTGCCTGGCCCTGGCACAGATCACCACTGGCTGAAAAGGTGTAGATGCAGGGAAAATCCTGCACTGTGGAAGCCACTTGGCCTGTGTCAGATTACAGCTGGATTGTTCTGGCTTCCTGGCTTGAAAAGATTGGCAGTCACTATCATAGACAGTCATCCTTTCTCCTTTTTCAAATGTAGAAGTCATCTCCAATCTGGTGCTCAGTTACTGTATACCACTATTCAGGACTTACAGTCCTTTACTGACAGGTAAACTAGCATAATATCTGAGTATATATAATGGGTATTTTGAATGCTTACAGTAGGTATAATGGGAATGTCTTGGAATCTCCACGGGACAATCTTTACAGCGTTTTTTCCTTGGGCATTATATTTTATGTTCTTTCTTTTGAACATATTACGTTACTGCTAGCCATTATGGGCACTGCAAAGTTTAAGGGTATTCAGCATGTTTTTCTACTCAAGGTATGAAATGGAAAGATAAGGAAGGGAAAACTTTTTATTCTTGCATGAAATTGTAATGTATTATACATTTTGGTAAGCACAGACAATTAAAAAGGCAAGGTAAATAAATTGAGGTACCCAAAATTAAGAAATTCGTTTTTTGTTTTCTAGCCTTTCTTAATAAACCAGTTGCATATGAACTGATTCCCATTCTTTAATAAATGTTGAAGTCCAGTGAGTAAACTTTTGCCACAATATGTCATTGTTTTTATTACCTTGTAGAAGGGTAAAAAGCTTCATCTATTTCCAGTTAAATGATTGGATTAATCAGCATTCATGAAAATATAAAACATAGTTCTATCACTGTTGTATTCACATATACATATTAAGAATACCATGCAAAAGTAATAAGAAAACCAAGAATTGTGTATGAAATTGCTGCTCTGAAAAGTTAGTTAAGTTTGATGAGGGACATTAAAGAGCAACAGCTAATGAGCAATGTAATGAATTTTGAACATATCAGGTGCTTCTTACAGCAGGGTACTGTAGAGAGAAACTGAGAAATCAGGAGTGAGGAAAATAACAATAATACCAGACACATTTTGCTATACAAATGCCTTTAGCAATCCTGATAACATCGGATGCATACAAGAGCACATAGCTATGGAGTATCTCTCTCTACAACAGTAACTTGTTGCAGTGAGATAAGCTATGTGGAAGACCTTTGAGTATCTTGATCAAAAATCTTTAGCAATACAGTTTTATTGTCTCCACAGAAAAGGCATTTATGAAGACCTGGGCTTAGAGAAGAATGGCAGAAATGACAAGCGAACACTCTCCAGAGACTTATACTAAAAGCAGCAGAGATAAAGCCTGCCTGACGAAAATGCAGTCAGAACCATTGCATACAAAGCATTGCATTACAAAAAGATTGTGACTGGCCTTTTCTGCTATGCAGGTTAGAGAGAGGATGCAGAGAGAATGGTAGTCTAAACTGGATTTCCTGCATTCTGTTAAGTTGTGGAGCTGCCAAGTCCCCACAGAGGTCAGAGAAGAAGTAGGCCTGTACTCTACCCCTCATCATCCACCTCTTCTGTCCTATGAAGGCTACAAAAACAGCTAGCTGCTCCAGAGCAGTAAGTACTACCCTACAAGGGCTGCATCTACACGAGACACTTCCTGTTCAGTAGCTCCTTACTACTACACGATAGCGTTGTGTGGCACGAACCATGATGTGACATTACTGCACAGTAGGGCTGTGCAAAACAGCAGCATTCGAGGGAACACTGTTTCGTTTCAAGTTTTGTTTCATTTCGAAAGCACTGTTCCATTCCATTTCATCAAAATTATTTCACTGTTTTGATGTTTTGATTGGGCTGTGATTGGACTGGGGAAGGGAACTCAGCCCAGCCCAGCGCAGCTGGGGAAAGGAACTTGGGCGGGGGAAGGGAACTCAGCTGGGCTGAGTTCCCCAGCCCGATCGCAGCACTGGGGAGGGGAAGTGAGTCAGGCTGAGTTCCCTTTCCCAGCCCTATTGCAGCGCTGGAACCCAGCACTGCAACTCAGCCTGGTGGTGAGAGGCAGAGCATAGTGCCGGCTGTGCCCAACTTCCAACACCGGGCTGAGCTCCATGGGGCTGGCGGAGCCAACTGGAGCACAGCCCAGTGGCGGGACATGGGTAGAGTTGGCACTGTGCTTCCATCGGCTCCGCCAGCCCCACCGAACGCAGCCTGGCCATACGAGGGGGGGAGAGCCAGATCTGTGCTCCCCGCCAGACTGAGCCACATGGGGCTGAGGAGCCAATTGGGAGTGCAGCCCTGGTTCTCCCCGGTCTCCCAGCACCTGGCTGGCTCCTTCGAAACTTGAAACATTTTGAAACTTTAAAAATGTTTCGACTGCCCTCATTTTGTTTTGAGGCTGTTTCAAAGCCCTTTGTTTCATTTCAATTTTGCTGTTTCGAGCTCAAAATGAGTCAAAACAGTGTCAAAACAAAACAGCCAGTGAAATTTCACACGGCCCTACTGCACCGTAGTAACAAGCTACAATGCAGTCAGTGTCACTAGAAAGCCATGCCGGGACACTACCGCCCAGTAGCTGCATAGTCATTTAATACGTGGGTATGCAAGTACTAAATGACTGCACGGTAACTATAGCCAGTAAGGAGTAATGAGTGATATACCTTTGAATGTCTGGGTTTTCTGGGAATTCCCTCTCTATACTTCCCATGTAGGGAGGGGAGTTGTACCTTATGCTGTATAAGGAGTGCAGTGCACAAATAATTATATCCTTAGACTGCAGCATTGTGCAACACAATACTTTTTGGTGACATGGTCATATGCTATTTCTCAAATGGAAAATTGCTCACATTAGTCTCAGAAATTCTTATTTAGACATGTAACATCTTAAAACCTCTTTACCATGCTTTAATTCTGTATGATTTTCATCCTATTATCCAGTCTAGTGGGAAGCACTGGATAGTAGCATAGTTAAGGCAGGGGTTGTAGAATAGGGGACCATCCATGGTGCCAAGTTGGGGCAGGGTCACAAAAATTGCAGCTGCTGAGCTGTCAACCCAGCCACTTTGTGCTGCCCAGGGATGCCATCCTGTGTTACCCAGGGAGCAGAAATGCAACCATGTCTGGGTATACCTCTGGCACTGGATATGGATCTGAATGTCTGGATAATTAGTCATACCAAAGGTCTAAAATATTCGAACTTTGTCAATCACTGCCTTAATCCTTTGCTCCCCACAAGATAAAAAAAAACAACATATGCTTAATGGCATTGCATTTGATACCATGTACATGGTGATGACCACCCTAAAAGTTTTTCTCATGTCAGTGTTCTGTAGCCTGTTTGTGATATGCCACTGTATCAGTTAAAATGGAACAAGTATAGGAACAGCCACTTTCAGTGCAGGAATTTTTATAGGACAGAATATGTTGATGTTGTATGATAGGTGCCACCATGAAAATTAGGCTATTAGATTAAATGAGTCAGATCAGTGGGCAATGTTTTGTTCTGTGGTTTTCAGAACAAAATTAGAGTATTCATAAAAGCATGAAAAAGTCTCATGTAAGGTTGTAATGATTCATTTGGAATTTGGGACATCATCTCACTGGTGCCTTTTTTTTTTTACTTTGCTACTTTCAATAAAAATGCCAAGTTGGCATAATACCCAGGCACCTAGTCAGCAAACATTCCTATTTGCTGTAAACTTTAGAAAAGAGTTAATACCTGGCCATGACTTAAAAAAAAAAACACAGCATGTAATAATGACTCTGACCCAAACAAAAAAATGAAATTATGTGTTTAAATAATATAAATCTCATCACTGTACTGATCTACAATTTTGTTGTATAGCATCAAATTAATGTCAAATAATACATTGGCTCTATGGATGGGTGTGTTTCCTGGATCAAAGAAAGCTATAAAAAGAAGAGATACATAGCTGCTGGTACTTTAAGAAATTTATTTGTAATCATAGCCTAAGGCTTTTTCCTGATCCTTTTCAAGTTGCAATAAAAATTATATGAAATATTTAAAATGTGAACAGGCAAATTTACTTACTGTTTCCTGGATGCCAGCGTACTGCATTTAAATATGCATTACAGTAATGGAAGAGAAATTCATGCTTGGATTGGATAATTTTGCCTTGAAGCAAGGGCATCAGATCATGTCCATCAATAATTCTGAATAAGAAAACATTTCAAAGTCAGGGTAAATAACTCAAACCTTCCCTGCCTGGGAAGCAGCTATAACCATGCATTTCCATTTCTTAATAAACACAAACTCCATTCTACCTGAAAGCTAGAGCAAGCCTTCCTTTTATGTCCTAAGGGACCACAACAAATTGACAAATTTGGAGCAAAACCTTTGGGTACTTTTCTCCCTTGATTGTCTGCATTATTTAAAGGGTCGTTAATTTTGCATTCTGCCTTTTAAGAATGATTAGCTTCCATACCCTGTTCTCTCTATTTTTGGTTTGGGAAGCCTATATGAAGTCCATATAAGGAAATTATTGTAGCAGGAGCTGCCAGGTACAGAAACACATAGATCTACTACAGCAGCTTGAACACATAGCTTTGCTATGATAGCTCATGTGATAGCTCAAGTACAGTACATTAAATTTCCACTGCATTCATAGACTCTGCTCTGCCAGTTATGGCTGAGAACATTCACTGAAGACAACAACAAAAACTTTAAGGCTCTAGCTAAGGATATTTACACATGCTGGAGCTAAACACAGATTCAGTCATACCAAATTTTAAATAAATAGTTTCCTGACTATATATTTGCTTCATATTCACTATATGTACAAAGCTTCTAATGGCTGTTGGACATTTTTGGTGATTCTTTGAAGAGACCAATCTATTTAGAAGGAAATAGAGTTACATAATCAGCTAAGCTGGATGTTTCCATTAATTAAGACATCAGTTAGTTAAAATGAACTGACAGGAAAAAAAAATCACAAGTTACAGTTTTGACATGGTGTGAATTACAAATTTTACAACAGTTTTTAGAGATTTATTCATGCCAGCTAGGTTGTTATACTTTAAAGCATTTTGAAAGACATCCTGGAAAAACAATTTTTGAAAGTTCAAACTTTTAATCATTCAAGTTATGTTTAATTATCATATAAATTCCTTTCCCAAATATTGTAACTAACACTTGTAAAAAATGTGAAACAGATACTAGTTGGAAAACTAAAATGATAAGCCAGAGGCAGATATGAAAGATTTCCAAGAGTACATAATATAGCACTGTCACCCTTCATCCCAACCAATGGGTAGTGGGAAAATGCTGGAACTTCAAGTCAAGGGCAATTTTGTCTTTTCAAAGCTCTTCCACCTTCTAGCCAAATAGCTTAACAGTGATAGCATTTAGCTAGTAACCAGAACACCTAGATTCTAGGTCCTGTGCCTGGACGCGTTGGCGATGCATAGGGGTGCAAGTAGGTGCACATCTATATCCTGAGCTTGGCAGTGCAACCCCTGGAAAAAGGCACTGCCTACACTGCCGGTGGCACCTGCGGGTGATCACCACTCGGCAGTGCCTCG